CTTTTTTCAAAAAAAAAAAAAAACCAAAAAGATCAAACCAATCCTAGTGGATGAATTTCCACTGAGGGATGTCTGGGTACACTAACTTGACTCGATAGGCTTTACTATATATGACAGAATACATGAAATTAGATTGGGGGGCTTTTAGGCAAGCCTGGGCTACACAGTAAGGCCTTTTTTCAAAAAAAAAAAAAAACCAAAAAGATCAAACCAATCCTAGTGGATGAATTTCCACTGAGGGATGTCTGGGTACACTAACTTGACTCGATAGGCTTTACTATATATGACAGAATACATGAAATTAGATTGGGGGGCGGGGCGAAGGGAGATGTGGATGGGGGAGGGGGTATAAAGATGATTATGATGTTTTGTATGAAGTGCACAAAAATTCAATAAAAATATAATTACAAAAACCAAACCAAAACAAACAGAGGAAAGAAAAAAATGGACAAAGGAGATAAAAGGAATTTGACAAAAGAATGGTCAATAAACAATTTTTGCCTTTAAACCCAGCACTTGGAAGGCAGAGGCAGGCAGATCTCTATGAGTTTGAGGCCAGCCTGGTCTACACATCAAGTTCCAGCCAGCTGGGGCTACAGGGAGACCCTGTTTAAACAAACAAAAAACTACTTTTATTTTTGCATGTGTGTGTCTGTGCGTGTGGGTACCTATGAGTGCAGCTACCCATGGAGGCCAGAGGTGTTAGATTCCCTGGAGCTACAGTTGTAGGCAGTTGTGAGCTGCCAGATATGGAAATCAAACCCCATTCCCTGGAAGAGCAGTAATTGCTCTTAACCACTAAGCTATCAGTTTCTTTAAAAATATTTTTATGGGGCCTGGAGAGATGGCTCAGTGGTTAAGAGCACAGGCTGCTCTTGCAAAGGACCTGGGTTCCCAGCACCCACATGGTGGCTAACAACAGTCCTTAACTCAAGTTCCAGGGAATATGGTGCCCTCCTCCAGCCTTTGTGGGCACTTCACGACAAGGGTACACATATACATTCAGGCAGACACTCATATACGTAAAATAAATAAATAAAAAATTTAAAACAAATTAAAGAATAAAATATTTTTGTGTATGTGTGTGTATGTACATGCATGTGCATGTGTTTTGTGTGTGAAGCATGTGTGTATAACATGTGTTGTCAGAGGACAACTCTGGGTATTAGTCCTCATCTTCCACCCTAATTTTGAATCAAGGTCTCTCTTATTTGCCACTGGGCTGTGTACTCCAGGCTAGCTGGCCTGCAAGCTCCTGAGGTATCCTCCTGTCTCCACCTCATCTCACCATAGGAGTGCTGGGATTATAGACACAAACCATCTATCTGGCTTTTACATGGATTCCAGGGATATGAACTCAGGTTGTCAGGGTTGAGTGGAAAGAATTTTTACAGACTGAGCCATCTCCCCAGCCCAATAAAACCACTTTCTACCTAACAAAAGAACAAAGATTCAAATAATAATCAGGCTGTGGTGAAATTTCCTTCAGATGAATACTCTCATACCTCCACAGAAAAACTATAAACATAATCTTTCAATGAAGCAATTTGACCACCTGAATCAATAGTCTTTTGAATGGTTTTATCCTTAATCTAGAAATTCTACTTTAAAAACATATCATAAATAAATATATAAATCATTGGCTATACTGAGATATTAAATATCAGAATGCTCATAAAGGAGATATTTATGGTAGCAAAAGTTCTGAAATAAACTGGGCATGGTGGCACACATCTGTAATCCCAGCACAAAGGCGGTTAAGGCAGGAGGAGGCCAGCCTGGGCTATATAGTGGGACATTGTTTCAAAAAAACAACAAAAAATATTCTAAAATAACATGAACAGTCCAATAATAGATAAATAGTTACAAAATAAAATAACCATCTTAGACTCTTATATAACCATATAAGTCATGACTTCAAGTTATAAAGGCAGAAAGAGGTTAACAATATGAAGCGTGAGGAGAACGTGATATAAAGTTGTATTTGTTATTTTTTTTATGCTTTTATTCTTGGTATACAGTTGAATTTATTATATGATCCTCTTTACATATGAAAGCACATGTATATGCATATAAAATAAACTGAGAGAATATATATTATGATACTAAGAACAGGGCCTGGGCAAGATGGCTCAGCAGGTAAAGGTGTTGCTTCATGACAATGAAAGTTCAATCCCTGGAACCCTCATAAAGATGAAGGCAAGAGATGACCCAAAAAGTTGTCCTCTGACCTCCACATGTACATTATGGCACACGTGTGCCCTCATACACAAATACTAATACTAATATAATAGGATTTTTTGGTCTTTTTGAGACAGGGTCTCCCTGTAGCCACAGCTGGCCTGGATTCACTGTTGACACCAGGCTGGCCTTGAACTCACAGAGCTCCACCTGCCTCTGCCTCATGTGCCACCAGGCTTGGCTATAATAATACAGTCTTAAAAGTTAAAAAATACTAATAAGCCAGGCGTGGTAGTACACGCCTTTAATCCCAGCACTTGGGAGGCAGAAGCAGGCGGATCTCTGTGAGTTCAAGGCCAGCCTGGTCTACATAGTGAGTTCCAGGACAGCTGGGGCTACAGGGAGACCCTGTCTCAAAAAGACCAAAAAAAAAATATATATATACTAATAACAATACTACATTAGGGCTATGAAATAATACACATTTTTTTTCTATCTTTATGTGTTCCCAAATTTTCTGAAATAAATGTATATTCTACAATAAGTAAACAAAAAGGATGTTTTATTTTTAAGAAAGACGTGGGAACTGGTAGCTCAGTGGTAGACCCTTGCCTAGCATGCATGAGGCCCTAGATTCAATCCCTAATGCTGAAAACAAACAAAAACAACAATAATAATAACAACCAAAAACCTTGTTTAACATGCACAAGCTCCTGGCAAAACAGGGCTTGGTGGCATAAGCCTGTCAGCAGAAGTTCAAGTTCATCCTTGGCTATGTCATGAGTCTGAGGGCAACCTAAGTTGTATGAGACCCTGTCAGAGAAGGCAGAGGGAGGGGGAGGGAGGAGAGGGATGAATATGCTACAAAGGGGTTAGAGATAGCTCAGCACTGGCTGCTCTTGCAAAGGACCCAGGTTTGGTTCCTAGCACCCACACCTGCATGGCACATGGCAGCTAACAACTATTCCTAACTTCAGTTCCAAGGGATCTGATGCCCTCTTCTGGCCTCCAAGGGCATTGCACAACACTCATACACAAAAATAAACCAAAAAAAATTTAAATGGAAATGTACAATACATTTCATTGAGTTAAATACTTCTTATTCAGAATGTTTGTTAGGTATTAGCAGAAGAATAAATAGCAGAAAGTGTAAGCTCATGAGACGCCTTGGTGGGTAAGAGGCACTTACCACACAAGCCTGGTAATTTAAGTTTGATCCTTGGAACCATGTAAAGTTGGAAGGAAAGAGCTGACTCCACAAAGTTGTCCTCTGACCTCCACATGTATGCACCCATTCCATGTGACCACTGACCCCCAAACTAATAATTTTTAAGTGGAATGAACAAATAAAGAGAAAAATAATGTAAGAAGTAGAGTGACCTGAAAAGGGGCTTCTCTTACTAAAGATGCTGACACAGGGGGTAGGAAGATAGTCCAGTGATAGTTGATGCTTAGTGTTTATATGGCCCTAGGTTTAATATTCACAGTTTAAAAAAAGTTTATTGTGGGAGTAGTGGTATAAACTTGTTATCCTAGTCTTTCAGGGAGGCTGAGGTAGGAGGAGCAAAAGTTGGGGCCAGCCTGAACTACAGTGAGTTCTGGGCTAGCTTGGGCTTCATAGCAAGACCTGTCTCAAAGATTCCTTTTTTCACATAGGAACTGGATAACAATTTATTAAGCAGGGTTTATCAGAGGAAGGGTGATGCATGAAAGATTCACTGTGATCCACATTGTCTAGCATTGTGTCTGGCATGTAGTAGGTGCTCAGTAAATATGCGTTGTTTGAACAAATTAATACATGATTCTATGGGCCTTCTGAACTGGAGACCTTGTGATTTCATAAAGTCTCTCTTCCAGTTCTCCTTGCCTTTTTCCTTCTCTGGACTGAGAATAATTATAAAACATTAATGTAATAAACTACTAATTTAAGGACGCTTAATCATACACTGTGTTGTCTTTTATTGTTCCCTAATTATGTTAGGAGCTTAAATTCTGCCTCCCCAACAAGAGCACTAGTTCCCACAAATCAATGCCATTCAATCAACGCTTATTGAGCACTCTGTACTAAGTACCACAGCCTGTCCCAACAAAACCTCTGCTCAAAGAATAGAAGCATTAAAAGAGCCAGTAATCCCAGGACTGGGGAGGCTGAGGCAGGAGGAAGGCAAGTTTGAAACCAGCCGAAGCTACACAGCAAGAGTCTCTACCTATAACGGGAAAGGAGGAGGAAGGAAGGGAGAGGGAGAACCAGTGAGATGATTCTGAGGGTGACCAGGAGAGAACCACTCCTGCAAGTTGTCCTCTGACCTCCATGCGCATTGCGGTGCCCACGCACCCTCCACCCCACTCACAAATAAATTAAAAATGGGATAAAAAATTAAAGACAGAAAGAGAGGCTGATAATCAGATATTTTTCGACTAGGGCACAATTAATTCTTCGAGAAAGGTGGTCCAGGAGGGTGACAGGGAGGAGGTACCATTTCAAGGGACTCGACAGATTACAGGCGTGTCAGACCCCTGACAGGGGGCTAGTGTTGTAGATTCAAGAGAGGCGGATACCATAATAGAGTCAGAGCTACAAGAACGAGCCTTTCTCACTTTCTGCTTTAATATCTGTGCCCAGGCGCGACAGAAAGCTACGGTTCTCTGGTATCCAGTCAATACAGCAATGGGAACGCAGGGGAGAAAGGGCAGGAAGAAACAAGGGGCTGATCCAATAGGCTGCCAGAAAGCCTTGTCTATTTCGCAGTTGGCCCAGGTAGACTAGTTCGGGAAGCAAGGGACCGAACCGGGTCAGAGTCACCAAATGGAAGCCTTACCTGCCGTCCCTCCCCCACTCGAGGCCCACGCAGCGGCCAACTTGAAATTTGCTTTTCTTCCTCCAGCCAGCGTTCTACACCCGCCTCCCGGAGCTCTCCATTGGTGGGTTCTTCCGGCCAATCTAGGAGAGGAGGAGGGAGGTCCGCCCACTCGAGGAGGGGGAGGGGGCTGGGTAGCGAGCCTGCCGGAACTAAAGCCTGGGAAGAGGGGCGCCGAGAAACAAGGGGTTTGCAGAACCAGCAGTCTTCAGTTATTTCCTACCGCAGCCCAGCTGGAAGAGACCCTGGAAAGCAAGAGACTGCTGACTTGCCACTCAGGCTCCTCCAGGGACTTGACTGAGCCCGAGGAGGAGGGCGGCTGTGTGGAGGGGAGTGTACCCCAGGGGCTGGAGCGATTGCTGCAGAGGACCAGAGTTCTGTTCCCAGAACCCTGTCAGGCAATTCACAACCGCTTGTCACTCCAGCTCCAGGGAATCCGACGCCCTTTTCTGGCCTCTGTGGACACAATTTTTTTAAAAGGGGGTGGGGGATAGCTCTTAAGAGCAACTCTTTAAAGTCAGTCTTTGGTGACTCCACCCTTTACTCTTACACAGTCTTCGCTAACACCACCAGTAGATAGATACTTTCTTTCTTAAAAAGAAAAAAATAATTTTAAAGACAAGAGTTACCTACCTATTCCAGGCTGGCTTCAAACTCATGATCCTTCTGCCTTAGCTTCCTGAATATTGGGTATGGGTCACCAAGCTCAGCCCCAAAATGCTTTTCTGTGGGTTGGTGCTGGCTGTGTCAGAGAAGTGGAGTAGGTGAAGGTTTGGGGACCAGAGAAGCAGAGTTGGGGAGAGAGGGCATGAGCAAAGTGTTTCCTACACTTTTCACTGCCTTCCAAGCCCCTTGGTAGAGGTGGGTAGGGTGGAAAGAGAGTCCAGTTTTCACAGATTAGAAACAGAAGGAAAGAGTTCAGGGTAGAGATAAAATCTAGGAGTTAGTCAACAAGAATATCCCTGGTGTCTGAGAAAATGGCCTCTTTCCTGGGACACTGTATGTTATGCCTAGTTTATGGAATAGAACAAAAATATAACTGTGAAACTTTGAAGAACTTCCTTAACCTTATTACTTAACCATGTTACAAAAGATAAATAGTTCCTACCTTAGAATTGTGAAGACTGGAGATAATGTATAGAAAGCACTTAGCATATAGCATCAGCAACTAGTAAAAGAGGTATTTTCCTTGCAAATATTTCTCCTCCTTCCCCAGTAACATTATTTTTATCTTGTGGCCTCCACACTTCAAATTACCTAGGATCCTGGGTGAGTTTTCCAAACCCTTAGTATACTTCCTGTGCCCCCACTTCCCTTGGTACCTTCCAGCTGGACACAAACTCATTCCTAAAATATGCAGATAGAAGCCTTGGTAACCATGGAGACAGGGCAGGTGGCACGGAGAGGCAGAAATAGATTGGAAGAGAGAAGACGAGGAGTGATTCAGGCAGGCACCTTCAAGTGAGATGGAAAAAGGAGTCTAGGGAAGGAATAATGAGATGTAATGAGAGGGTGTGTATTAGAAGTTTCGCTCTATGGACACCCCCTAAAAGGGAAAGAAAAATCTGGAAATGCCCCTTGCCCTAAAAATGTCCGGGGGTACCCGCCTTCCTCTCATCTAAGGAAGAAGTGTGAGGGAGCTGAGACCGACCCAAGCGTCTCTAGGATGTGTGCTGTTGAGAGGGCAGTGGCGATGTACTGCTGTGTCTGATTCCAGGCCACTCTTTTCCTGGCATTTAAACTACGAGAAAGCAGTCACATCTCTTGCCTCTCTGTGCACTACGTGTGGACGCCACTGCAGATCCCAGTTGCCTCCCTGCACCCCTCTGCACAGTGTGCCATATGCCGTATGTGGCAGTCAGGTCTGGCGCATTGGCGCTCATGGAGATCTGCTGCAGCTCAGAAGAATCCGGATGGTTCCTGAATGGGTCACGGAAGAGTGCCCTAAAGAACACTTAGGTTTGTTGGGGCTGAGGGGAGGTGGGTTAAGAAAGAGAAGTCAAGATTGGAGCTTCTAGGTTTTTTTAAGGTTTATGTGTGTGTGCATGGGTGGGGAGCGGCTTGGTGCCGGACGCCCCCACCCGCAGAGACTGGGCTATAAATAGCACATCAGAGCTCCGCCCCCCCACCCCCCACCCCACTTCTCTCCTCCGGAGCCGGCGCTGTGCCCGGGGCGCACCGGGAGGAGGGACCAGGATCCACCGCCGGGGCGCAGATACTGACACCCAGGGAATCCGGGTGCCCCCCCATGCCATGTGGGCCCCCAGGCACCCGGCTCCTCCGCCCCGGAGGCCCCCGTGGCCCCGGCTTCAATCCTGGCCAGGCAGAGATTCCGCGGACATTCAGGTATCTATTTGGGGGTACAGGCTGGGAGGGAAAAGAACAAAAAGCAATGGGGAACGTGGCAGGGGCAAAAGAAAACCCTAATTCTTCCTCTACCCCTTTAGGTCCCAAATGCAAGCTGCTTCCTTCCCCCTACTCAATTTTTGGGGATGTGGCAATCTAAAAGAGGTTAGGAATAGAAATATGTGTGTGACTGTACGGGTGCATGTGTGTGGGTGGGTGGCGTTCAGCATCCTAGCGAGGGGGATTCCAAGTGTGGCTAAGGAAAGGGGGATGTTGGAAAGGTCTGATAAGCCGTGGGGTGAGAATGGGGTGCGAATATCCCTGCGCGTGCATGTACGTATTTGCACTCGCTCTCATGCCTCAGTGCCGGTGCACCCTTCCCACCTCCTCAGGCATGCGCTAGGGGGATGGGGCAGCTAAAAGGCAGGAGTTAAGTGGAGGGATTGTGTGCATTGGAGATGTCCCCCATCATACTCTAGGCACTTCGATCGCTGCCTCAGTTTCCCTGCTGAGCCGGTCAATAAGTCTCTCTCTCTCTCTCTCTCTCTCTCTCTCTCTCTCTCTCTCTCTCTCTCTTTCTCTCCACACACACACACACACAGGGATAGGCTTCACCACAGAGACCTCAGGCCTCTCCCAGCCACCACCCCCACACCCCTAGCCATCTTCGGCAAGTCCCAGTCCCAGATCCACCGGTGCTCTCGCCCCAGCCGCAGCTATGCTGCACACCGAAGGCCACGCTCTTCTTCGGGCCGTGGGTCAGGGTAAGCTACGCTTGGCCCGTTTGCTTCTGGAGGGAGGAGCCTACGTGAATGAGGGTGATGCCCAAGGGGAGACTGCGCTAATGGCGGCCTGTAGGGCCCGCTACGACGACCCCCAGAACAAGGCACGCATGGTTCGCTACCTCCTGGAGCAAGGCGCGGACCCCAACATCGCAGACCGCTTAGGGCGCACGGCGCTCATGCACGCTTGCGCCGGGGGTGGGGGAGCCGCGGTGGCCTCTCTGCTCCTTGCCCACGGCGCAGACCCCTCGGTCCGAGATCACGCGGGTGCCTCGGCGCTTGTCCACGCTCTGGACCGCGGGGACCGCGAGACCCTTGCCACGCTGCTGGACGCCTGCAAGGCCAAGGGCACGGAGGTCATTATCATAACCACCGATACCTCACCCTCGGGCACCAAGAAGACCAGGCAGTATCTCAATTCTCCCCCGTCCCCAGGGGTAGAGGACCCTGCACCCGCTCCTCCTAGCCCAGGGGTCTGCACGTCGCCTTCGGAAATCCAACTGCAATCTGCAGCAGCAGGAGGAGGACGGGGCTTGCTATCCCCTCGCGCCCAGGAAGAAGAAGAGAAACGGGACGTGTTTGAATTCCCTCTTCCTAAGCCTCCTGATGACCCTTCCCCTTCTGAGCCTCTTCCCAAACCGCCTCGACATCCTCCCAAACCACTCAAAAGGCTCAACTCCGAGCCCTGGGGCCTGGTGGCTCCTCCTCAACCCGTCCCTCCTGCTGAAGGGAGGCCGGGGATGGAGCGCTTGACCTCCGAATTCAACGGCCTGACCCTGACTGGTAGACCCCGTCTTTCCAGGCGTCACAGCACCGAAGGCCCGGAGGACCCGCCCCCATGGGCGGAGAAAGTGACGGGCGGGGGTCCCCTCTCGCGACGGAACACTGCGCCTGAGGCTCAGGAGTCTGGTCCTCCATCAGGGCTAAGGCAAAAACTGAGCCGTATGGAGCCGGTGGAGTTCGACACCCCTGGACATTTTTGCCCTGACTCGCCCGAGTCCAGCCGCCTGTCCCTGGAGCGTCGGCGGTACAGCGCCTCCCCGCTGACCCTCCCTCCCGCGGGCTCGGTTCCATCCCCACGCCAGTCCCAGGAAAGTCTGCCCGGGGCTGTCTCCCCGCTGAGCGGACGGAGGCGGAGTCCGGGGCTGCTGGAGCGGAGGGGCTCCGGGACCTTGCTCCTGGACCACATCTCCCAAACGCGTCCTGGTTTCCTGCCTCCGCTCAACGTCAGCCCCCACCCACCCATCCCCGACATTCGTCCCCAACCCGGAGGTCGGGCGCCTTCACTGCCTGCCCCTCCTCATGCTGGGGCGCCAGGGTCTCCCAGGACCAAGCGCAAGTTGGTGAGACGCCACTCCATGCAGACTGAGCAGATTCGCCTGCTAGGGGGCTTCCAGAGTCTGGGCGGGCCAGGGGAACCAGGGCGCTGAGAGAAGGGAGAGGAGCCGAGGAGGGAGAGGATCAGGACCCTGATGGGACAGGCGGGAGAACCAGCTCATCCCACGGACATAGGGATCTCTTGCATGTGCTCACAGCACTGTGCACGCACACATGGGTAAGCATGTGTCCACAAGCACAGTAGACTTACTACCACGGAAGGATAAATACTGTATTTACTGGGTGTATAGACCCATGCATTCGTGCCCTGGTCATTTCACACGCATGTGGGATTACTTGGGTACCCATAGGCACAGCACACCAACAGACACAGAGGCCCACTTGTGCTAGGGTCCCAGACTCACTTGCATTTGTTCGGAAGCAGCAGGGAGCCCCTACTTATGGCTAAACTCCTGTATCTTTGCCTTCCTGCAGAAAGAGCCCCTCGCTTTCCATGTGTGCCCTGCAACACAGCCTCTCATGACTTTGAACACTCTGCTTGCTCTTCATGAACATTTCGCCTCATTCTGCAGGGCTTGTTCCCCCATCCATGCCTGGCTCCTTGTTCACACCCTGTTTCCGGCCCCAACCACTTTCCAGGACATCTTCACTTTTCTCCGGGTTCCAGCAGCAGCCCTCCACCCCCCAGGTCTGCTGCTGCCCTTCATTCCCTCAACCTCACTTCTGGCTTCCTGCTTTTGATTCCCACCCTGCTCTACCTGAACACTACAACAGGTTGTCTTGTTTTCCCACGGTGTGGGTCATGGGATCTAAGTTGCTCTTCTGTATGTCTGAGCTTATGAACACCCCACACACACAGGTAAAGTGGGGAGTAACCCTAAATCACTCTCTCCACTTGACATGTCAAATAAATGTGTTCAGAAGTCTTTGTTTTGTCACTTCTGCCTGAAAATGGGGCACTTGGATAAAGAGGAGAGGGGAGGGAGGGTGAAGATGACTATAGCCACAGCTATCCAGATCAACTGACCAACTGTGGTTGTAGAAGAAAAGGCAAGTGTGTCCTATGTCCTGAAACTTTTAAGGCATTTGATAGACCCTTCCTCCAGTCTCCTCAGTACCCACCCTCAAATGATTTAAGACTCTTACAGAGTCCCTTCCTCCACTATCAGCAGCCATGACTTTCTACATACTGTTTTTTACATAGAGTTAAATTTTCACCAGGTGTGCTTCATCCATTTCTTCTGTTTCTCACCTCTACTGCCCCATGTTTAATCTCTGAGCACTGTAGGAGTGGTGTGGCTAGTAATGACTTTACCTAAAGAAAAAAATGGCGTTGTAACTGGAGCAGCTGGAGAGGTAGCTTAGTGGTTAAGAGCACTGGCTGTTCTTGCAGAGGATGGAGGTTCTGCTTCCAGTCCCCACATGCTGACACCCTCTTCTGGCCTTCGAGGGCACTACATGCAAGTGATGCACTTACATACAAGCAAAACACTCATACGCACAAAATAAACATCAACAACAAAAAATGACATGGTAGCCCGGGCGTGTTGGCGCATGCCTTTAAATTCAGCATTCAGGAGGTAGAGGCAGGCAGATCTCTGTGAGTTCAAGGCCAGCCTGGGCTACATGGTGAGTTCCAGGACAGCTGGGGCTACAGGGAGACCCTGTCTCAAAAAGACAAAAAAAAAAACAAAAAAAACAAACAACCCAAAACCCTGGTAGCCAGCCAAAGAGAGTAGAGTGTGTGTGCATGAGTTGTTTGTGTGTTGGCAATTAGATGAACCCAGCCTGACACTATGAACAAAGGTACCCTTCCTAACCTACATCTTGACTTTCTCACTCTGCTGGGTTTCTGAATATATTCTAGCTCTTTCTGTAAAGGAATAAAGAGAGATACTCATTCTACTTTGCCCTTACTAACTTAGGTGAAATCAGACAAATCAAGCCAGGCCTGGTGTTACATGCCTTTAGCCCCAGCACTTGGGAGGCAACGGCAGGTGGATCTCTGTGAGATCAAGGCCAGCCTGGTCAACATGGTGAGTGCCAGATTAGCTGGGACTACAGGAAGGCCCCGTCTCCAAAAACAAACAAACAAACAAACAAACAAAAAAGAAAAGGAAAGAAAATTGACAATGTAGAATAGTGAAAACATTTGGAATCATAACACCTATGTCTGAATCCTCCCTCTGTCTCCTAGTTATTTGATGTTGGGCAATTTATCTAGCCTCCCTAACACTTTCCTTATTCGTAAAATAATAAAACCTGGTTATTAAACAAGGCAATGCACTAAACTATAGTACATAGCGTATGCTCATTTAAGGCCAGTATCATATTTTGCTTTAGCTCCATCACCAATTGTACATGATCTTAGATAAGTCACACCACTTCTCTGAACCAGTTTCTGCATCTACATCTACAAAAAGAAGTGATGAGAAAAATTATCTCTAAGAATCCTCTCTAGCTGCAATTCTCCCCAGCTTTACACAGGGCCTATTTTTTCTTCAAGCCCCGCCCCAGAGGTCTGGCCGGATTTCTAGAGCTTACCACAGGATTCCCAAAGATGCACAGAGGCTCTCTTTCTTGGAGGATATTGCTTTTTCTCTTTGCAATTGGTTCTCAGAACCTCCAACCTTCTTCAATCATTTGCGTGGGGTGGCGCAGAGGCCCGCCCCTTCCCTCCCTTTTCACTGGTGATTGGCATGGGAGCTGGCTCGAACCCGCCTCCTCCTGATTGACGGCTGGATCCGGGTTCCACCCTCAGTCCCCCGGCGGCGCTGACTGGAGCGGCTGGGACCGTTAGCTCGCTGGGCTGGCAGACTCGGGGCCCTACTGCACCGGCGGCGGAGATGGAGACGCTGCGAGCACAGCGGCTGCAGCCGGGCGTGGGCACCGGCGGGAGAGGCACTCTCCGGGCGCTGCGGCCGGGGGTGACGGGGCAGCCCCGCCGCCGCCCGCCCCGCCCCCGCCGCCGCTGCTCCTGGCGGGGACCCCGGGGCTCCCTCTGCCCCCCGGTGCGGCGGGCAGTCCAGCCGTGCTGCGGGAGGCGGTGGAGGCCGTGGTGCGGAGCTTCGCCAAGCACACGCAGGGCTACGGCCGAGGTGAGTGCGGGGGTCCGGCCTCCTGCGGGATGCCGGCGGGGAAGAAGCCTGGCTCCCACCGTGCTCCGGGTCGTGGTGCTTGGCATCCAGCCGGAACGTGCTTTTCCTTTTGGGGCGTTTCCTTCTGGGCCGTAGCACACACCGGGAGGCGCCCACCCGCTCTGAGTTCCTAGTACGTTCTCCAGGGAATCTGCTTTTTCAGATGCAGTCCTCTCTTCCAACTTCTTTTCTCTCTGCTAGAAATGGAACTCCTGTAGCTTTAAGGTTTTTAACTTCCAACTCTGAGGACCGGTCCTGGTGGTGTGGGATCCTGTCCTTTATCTCAGATTCAGGACATTTGTCATCAGTACCGTTCTCCATCTTTCTTCCCAGCAGTTCTGTACTCCGTCTCTTCAACCCTGACTTTTTCATAATAAAGTTACTCAGCCTCACTCTGAAATTTCCAGCACAACTTCATATTTGCTAAGGAATTATGGAGTGCCTTCAGAAGCCACTCAGGATAATTGTTCCTTTGAATCTGAACCCATACCATTGAGCCCACGCCAGCTTCCTGTGACTTTGTACCTCACTTTGGTGTCTTTTTTTGGGGTGGGGGGGGGTTGGAGCCTCATAACTTGGGCCTCTGTCTGCCTGGCTCTGTTTTCCTGGCCCTTGCCCAGGAACTGAGGATAAATCTCAGGCCTTGGCTCTCTCAACGCTAAATTCTGTGGAAATGAGCCAGGCAACAAACCCTATTTTGCTTATAAATCTCCTGCTTAAAGATGCCTAATTTCTGGGAAGAGGGGTGTGAGAATTTTCTTTGTTGTTTTTGTTTAACCAATATAGGATTTCCTGTCAGAATTCTGCTTCCAAATTTATAGTTTAAATGACAGGGAATACACAGTGAAGGGTGTGGGATTCAGAATATAAATTTGGAATTTCCAGCACATCACTTCTCTTGGCTTGGCCAGGTCCATCTTGATCTGGAAGTGACTAGATCCTTAACTTTCTAGTTTAATACAGAGAAAAGTTGCAGAGTTTTCTTGAATGCTTTTTCTTTTCTTCACTCTCCCTCCTCTTCGCTCTCCCCTCCTTCCCTACCTACCTCCTGCCCCCTTCCTTCCTATTAGAGAAACTATAGTAAAAAATGCATATGCAGCTTCTGAGACCTGTCACTTGCCAGCTCTGCCTTTAGGAAGAAACTTACAAATTCACTGAGCAACAGTTTCAAGGGTTATAGATTAAGATTTTGCGACTGACACAGAAGGGGTACTTAAAATCGCTATCTCAGATTTGCTGATTAACTCTTTTTTAAGGACAGCATGCATGCTTGCTTGCTTTCCTTCCCTTCCTTTCCTTCCCTCTGTCTCTCCCTCTCCCTCTCCTCCCTCCCTTTTTTCCTTCCACTCCTCTCCCCTCCCCTCCCCTCCCCTCTTTCTTTTCTTTCAACAGTGTCTCCTGTAGCCCCAGCTGGCCTAGAACTTGCTATGTAGACCAGGCTGGCCTTGAGCTTACAGAGATCCACCTACCTCTGCCTCCTGGGTGCTGGGATTAAAGTGTGCACCACCATGTTTCATTTTCTCCTACTCTAAATGTTTATATCTTTGTAAACCCAAAGATTCCAGTGAAAACAGATGTTTAGATTTGCTTTGCTATGTCCAGTGATTCAGTTACCATAATTTTCCTTTACTCCTTTTTTATTTTTAATGTGTATGAGTGTTTTGCCTGCGTGTGTGGAAGTGCACCGTGTGTGCAAACCTGCAGAAGTCAGAAGTAGGCATCAGATTCCATGGAACTGGAGTAAATATTCAGTGGTGGGCGCTGGAAATTGAACCCGAGTCTTCTGTAAGAGCAGCCAGTGCCCTTAACTGCAGAGCCATCTCTCCTGCTCTAACTCCTACCAAGACTAGGCACTCTGCAGGGTACTGGGGATACCAATGGATATACTTCTGGAACTCATGGGCAAATATAGTTACTTTCTAATTCAGTTCCTAGATGTAACAAGGTTATTTGATGGAGCTGCATGCTGTACCCTGCTGCTTCAGGTCTTTTATGTCAATTCCAAGGGAAACATTTTGCCTCAAGGCATAATAGTAGCCAGAAGTAGTCATCCTAAGTCTGAAGTCTTCCTCTTGGAAACTTACAGGCATTTAAAAAATTTTTTTAATTTAATATTTTTATTTTATGTGTATGTGTGTATTGCCTGCATGTAGTTAAGTGCACCTGTGTTGCACAATGCCTGCGGAAGACAGAAGAGGCTGTCAGATCCCCTGGAACTGGAGTTACG